GTGTATCAAACATGTAGAAACATAACATAACTTCTAGGTTAGACCTTGGTATGTGTATCAAACATGTAGAAACATAACATAACTTCTAGGTTAGACCTTGGTATGTGTATCAAACATGTAGAAACATAACATAACTTCTAGGTTAGACCTTGGTAAGTACACCATTAATTACTGAATATTTATAAATTACCATCCATCTAAATAACATGTCATATCATCCAATTACCCTGATATTTTACTATTATACCTTATTTTCTTCTAAAATCAGGCTTATTTTCCCTAGAAGGCTTGTTATGAGTATAAAGAGGTTTTGTTTGTTTTTTATCATGAAATAAGAGTTAATGAGCCCCACCCCTCCAACTTTTTTTCTTCTTCTTTGTCCTGTCTGATTTTGTATACAGTTGATTATAAATCAGTTTCCTTTTTTTTTCCAGCTGGAATTGATTACAGATTTGTTAGGAACTCCATGTTTGGAAGACATGAAACATGCATGTGAAGGTGCTCGGAGCCACATGTTGAGGAGGCCTCAAAAACCACCATCACTTGCAGCTCTCTATACTCTCTCGTCTCAAGCGACTCATGAAGCTGTACACCTGCTAAGTCAAATGCTTGTTTTCAACCCCGTGAGTATACAAGATACTGCAAATGTAGCCAAAAACCGTTTGATCATTTTATTATATTGAAGTATTTTTTTGTGTGCCTGTAATAGTTTTATTCAGGTAATTGGATGTCATTCAGAATTTATAGTGCATACATTTTACAATAAAGTTATAAAAACAGAATGACTGTTACTCTCATGATAACGATATGAATAACTTTTTATTTCATCGAAACATTTTGCCATTGGAACTTACAACAACTAGAATCCGAGTTTCGATACCTGTGGTGGGCAGATAGCCCATTGTGTTGCTTTGTGCTTAGCCTCAAACAGACAAAATATATTTAAATCTCCAGATAAATGAATGCACAATCAATTTTGCTTTGTTTTTTGGCTCAGGCACGGTCATCTTTGGGGGGGGGGCACAGGTACATTTATTTGGTTAAAAATTGAATTGTATTTAATATTTACAATTAACACTTGATCTCCCGAGGGTTGAGAAAAATGTCAAAATTAACTCTGCATACCATCAGGTTAAACATGTAGAAATGTTATTTATGTAAGGTATGGTTCCATAAAGTCCAATCACATGTTCAAGTCAACATGCCACTTCTTCTACATGATGTATGTACAAACTCCAATTCATGCTGTACCATTCTCACACATTTCCATGATAAGTCCTTGTCCACGGTTGATGGACTTTATAAAGCACTTAAAGAGGAGAACAACATTGGGCTGAGTGTATAATGCCAAATTAGAGTAATAGTCCATAACCAGAGCCATTGAATAGAACATCAGTGGTTGTGGGAGAAGGGGTTGTAAGGCCTAACCTAGTGGTTTCCACACTTTTCACTGTTGACACCCTAACCCACTTACCTTGATTCGTGACACCCCCTACTGCCACGTGCAATGTATTTTTTTGTAGAGCTTTTTTTTATGTTTTTAATTATTCTCACTCGACACCCCTAGCAACTTGCTATGACACACAGTTTGGAAATCACTGGTCTAAACTTTTATCTCTGTATCGTTACCCTGCATCTTGTGTTTTCTCAATGTAATCACTGCATGATACCAAGGTGATGTCAGTTGTTCATTATTTTATTTTTCTCTTACACCACAAGGATAAACGAATCAGCTGTACCGATGCTCTCTCCCATCCGTACCTAGATGAAGGTCGTCTCCGTTACCATTCCTGTATGTGCCGCTGTTGCCATAGTACCCCCGCAGGTCGTCACTATGTCTCAGACTTTGAACCAATCATAATCCAGCCATTTGATGATTACTATGAAAAAGAATTTTCTTCCATCCACCAAGTAAAAGGCAAGGAAATGGTTTATGTGAAAATTACTGTAATAAGGTCCCTTAATTTGATTTCCTTAATAAAAGTGCATTTATTTGGACCTTTTGGGGACATTTTTTTATTAACAGTTTGTTGCAGTAAAATATAACTTTCACCGAGACTCAAACAGAGAGAAAGCGTGACACCATTCTTATTGTTTTGTAATCTTTGATTTTATGTAGTTTTTTGTTAAGTGTTACTTTTAATGATTGTTCAGTAAAAGATAATTTTTCCTCACAGAACGCCTCCACAAGTTCATACTGGAGCGAAGTGCTGGTTCCAACCGTGTCCCATTGTGTATAAATCCACATTCAGCTGCTTTCAAAAGTTTTGCTAGGTTTGTATGCCTTTCAAAATTTTCTTTCGATGTACCTATTCAATGCAAGCGAAAGACGTAAGTTTGGCAGCCGTTTCACTTTCTAAGACATGAAGCTGATTCCAATTGTCGTTTACTTCCTCACACAGCATGACCAATTTAAACAAACAATTCATGTGCTACAGCCATTTCAATTTTCCCCCTTGCTGCTGCTTTAATGGCTACTTCCAGAACTCTGATCATTCTCCCCACCATCACCTCCAACAGGTGATGATAACACACACACGCTCCATCCCAATGTCTACACGAATCCAATGAAATTAATGCCACACATCGTACAGGTACTTTTGCAAGTTTCAAGATCATTTATAAAGATGTCTAAATACCTGCTAAAATAAGTAGTAAATTTTACTGTTTATGTACGAGAAACCTGTATTTGTACAATATTTTTAATAATTTCCAACTTCTTTACGTTGCTACTCAAAATTTGGAGTATTATAGTAATGTAATAACTGTATTTTGAACGATCAGCAGTTTATTGTTCTAATTTAAAACAAAAAACACTTAATGAACTTACAAAAAAAATTATTTGAAGTTATAACAGACATTGTTCGTGAAGTCCATAACAAAGTTTCAGTTCTCTGAACGACGTGCGTACACAGCCGTAAAAATCAGTACAACGTTCTTTGAATATGTATACGTGTGGTCATGTTTTAGCCCTATGACCTTCATCTGGTTAGAGACTTAGTCAAACCTTGACCAAATATTTCCATTTTTCTCACGTTAATCTTGACCATTTGCTTTAATTTTCAAATTTGTGAATACTTCTGTGTAACTTATGAACCTAGTTTAAATTTTTATTTTACTTTTGTTTTATTTAATTAAGTAAGTTACGTGTACGAATTCACATTTTTTAAATTTAGTAATAACGCATCTGTACTTTGTTACTTAAGGTTTTATTGTTTTGTAATAATACATTTGTAATTTGTGTATATAATTTCAAATGCTTACATTGTTATTGGTATGTATGTGTTTTTTTTATTTTAGTACCTACATTGTTAATACTACCGTTGTTGCGTACATCTGTTCTTTGTTTTACTTATTACATCATCATTTCTGATTGTTATTTGTGTATGATGTCTAATATCTCTAATTTGGTGGTGTTGTCTCTTGCTGACTTTGTATTACTTTTATTTCTTCTATTACGACTGTTCTTTACTGGTTATCGTGTCGTCGTTACTGTAGCACATTGCATAACATTTTTCAAAATTCGGCTAAAACGATCCGCTGTCCAGAAGTATCGTTGTTTTAAAACATTCCCTTCGTTGCCACTGATTATGTTAATTGTTGCTTCCAGCCCGTTACCGCTGTTTGCTGCTTAGTTTCCCAACCCAATGTGCTACCGATTCATATTACATACAGCTGCTTATAACTACTAATTCAGTTGTGTGTCAAAAAATACTAAAACGTATATATATATATATAAATATTTATATATATATATACCAATATGATATTGATTCACATTATTATGTGAGAATGTAATTGACCCGTGTAAATATTGCTCTTTGCTTTATTATTCGTCAAAAGTGCATAGCCCAAAATATCAATATCGACACCAGTTACCAAGTAGTTTAATGAAAACTTGTAGTTAAGGTACTGGTGTTTTTATCCCGTCAGCTACAAGAGTATCACCTCTTCTCTACTTGTTGGTTGTTACCCAATAATCTTGAGAAGATAGGCTTCATTGATCGCCAACTTCTGATGGATGTTGCAGCTCAACCGTCGCTCACCCGTCGGAACTTCCTCCGTCACCTCATCAGTGGGAGTAGACATAGCAGCTAGGCCATTCCAGTGTGTTAGTCCGGCCTTACAAGAAAGGATGGCTTCAGATCCATCTTGGAAGCTGGGCAGCCTGAGAGAGAGACTACTACTACTACTACTTTGTTCCAGTGTGTTCACTATGCAACTGTTACATCACCCATAACCAGGTTCCTAATTTATTGTTTCATTGTTTTTACTATACCTGAATACAGTAGAAACTTTTTAAGTTTTCAATTTTATTTTATTTTATAAATAATTTTGTGACACCTTCTATGAAGCTCAGAAATTGTAACACATAGGTGTTATAGGTTCGTGGTTACGGTAATGAGCAAAGTAAGAAAAATATAAGAACCTTGACAATTTATTGCGAGGGAAATCGTTTTGTTTTGTTTTAATTATGCAATGCAGATAATACTGTTCCATAAAATTGATGATTTTCTAACTTTAACAAACCCAGCAAACCTGCTTACTGAAAGAAACTCGTTTCTCAGCAAGCTTTTTCATTCTGTAATTTCTGGGTCTTTTCAACACCCGTATAGTTAAACCTTAGTCTAATACATTACTTTTAAGAAAATGAAATGAGAAACAGTGTACGTTCACTGAAAACACAGAACAGAAGTAAATTATGCTTTATTCTTTCTCTCGACATAAAAAACAACAACTAGGAAGTAATTTTCTTTCTCTGGAAACTTCTTCTTTACTGGTGAATTCATCAGTATTAAAATCCATATAAAGGTAGATTACGGACTATTTCTTGAGATATGATCATTGGTTTGAGTCTGTAGTTGAAAAGTTTGTGTATTTTACTAAGTATTGATATATATATATAATTGTTTTAGTGATAGTGAAGTGGTGACAGTGTTGTTGAATTGGTTGTTACGTAACTGTAGCAAGGGTTTTCATAACGCAAGCACTTTCTTGTCACTTCTTTTATCATATATGTAGTGTATCAAATAGGCCTAGGAGGCTTCACTTGTAAATATTTTTGTACTTGGGATGGTTTGGATTTAGATTTCATCAAATGCAAAAAAAAAAAGAAAAGAAAAAAAAAGTGCCACAAAATGCTTTGTAGTGGATATAGTACTGACCGTATATCTTCTTCGGGTCAAGTGTTTTTGTAGTAAATGTTTTACATTTACATCATCTACTTAATTTTACAATAATTGTACACATCTCAGATTCTTGATGTCTAAACCAAGAAATTTAAACTCACCAGCGATCAGTGTTTTCATCATCGGTGTTTCTTGGTTACATAATTAGTTCTGGGATTTATTTCATATTTGGAAAAGTTCGTTTACAATTGTTTATTACTTAGAAAAATTTCTTTTAAAATCATAAACAGGAGGCTTTTTTTTTTAGATATATATATATATATTTAATGCAGTTTTGTTGATGATAACTTTCCCATTAAAAAATTGAAAATAAGCCATTATATATATTTTTTTAAAACTGACATTATTACTATAGTCATGTATAAGATCTCGTTAGATGTAATTACTTAATTATTTGTTAGTGTTATCTCACACTCTACAAAACTGTAACGGTAAGGGGGTTTTTTAGTTCAAAATAATAATAGGAAGTAAATTCATATCTCTTTGTTTTTTACTGTAAGCATTAGCGTAATTGGTAACTTGCACACCCCTCCTGGTCCTGGTTACATCATTCTCCATAAGCAATGCAATAGAAAATAACTGTACGAAAGGAAAATTGAGTGCTACTGTATTGTACGGTCTACAAAAATCTTTACACTATAGTGTATGGTCTACAAAGATATTTACACTATAGTGTATGGTCTACAAAGATATTTACACTATAGTGTACGGTCTACAAATATATTTACACTATAGTGTACGGTCTACAAAGATATTTACAATATAGTGTACAGTCTATAAAGATCTTTACACTATAGTGTACGGTTTACAAAGATATTTACACTATAGCGTGCAGTCTATAAAGATATTTACACTATAGCGTGCAGTCTACAAAGATATTTACGCTATAGTGTACGGTCTACAAAGATATCTACACTATAGTGTACGGTCTACAAAGATATTTACACTATAGCGTACGGTCTACACAGATACTATTATCATCACCATTTTAACTTTTGTTTATTTGCAACTGTCACCATTTATTATAAATAATGTTTTTAAACTAATAAAGTACAAAATACCATTACATAACGTTTGGGGGGGCAAATATAATCAAAATAAAATAAATTCCAACAATCAAAACTAGCACAGATATAACCTAAATTTAAGGTGTTCTTTTGAAACACGCACCTAATTAAATTATTTAGCAAGAAAGTATGTTTTAGTGAATCATTAAAACGGTAGATGATGATAGTATCTGTGTAGACCCCCACGCTAGAGTTAGCACCAAAAATTGTAATTTCTGTGCTAAATTACCATATTTCACATATCCAAAATTAAGTATTACTTGTAGATTTTAATTGTGATATTGACCCTTTTTTTTTCCTCAGTCCTTGGACGAGGAAGCTCAAATTTTATTGCCGATAAAATAACTGAAAATTCCTTGATTACATTGACATAGCTAAGCATTACTAGGAATTATTAAGCTTATCAAGGCACGTCTCGCATTCGAGCTTCCATCCTTTTCTCGACCATCTTCATGTGATAATCTTTCAAATCTGTCTGAACTGATGTCTTGAATCACAGATCATCCTACTTTTTTTAAATAACTTGATTTTTCTTGAAGAGCTTGTCGATGTGTCTGTCACTATCATAATAAAATATTCTATAATTCTACAATGGTGATCATTCCCATGACCATTCACAATCAACGACTTGTAAAAAAAAAAATGTGGTCCATGTTTAAGGTGTCATTATGAAAAATGCCATTTTTTTTTGACCTAGCCAGTTTTGAGGTCAATATTGTTAACTTACTTGTAAGTGTTTTAAAATTGCTGTGCATATTTTGAGCTTTTGTACTTTTTTTCGTTGACGTGCCGAGTAAGTTTGGAGGTTAGTTAATAAATGTACAGGTGTTGTTTGTATAAAATTTAAATTAGTTAGACAGGTAATTGTGCTTTATTGACAATTCTGTGTGGAGTAGGTTTTGCCAGAGTTGAACACCGACCTTACTGAACTCAAACTTTGTGTCATATATATCGGTGTACATAGATTTTAATGTGAAAAAAATCTCAAGAAAAAGATCTCGAGGAAGAACAAACGTGACTTTAAGTTGCATCTAGTACACCATGTTTGGTTGCACACTAAAAATGAAGTTTACAACAATATTTTGAAGTTCTATTGAGTGAAAGTGAGGAATTAGGTTGTTTTCTCACTATTCCATCAGTGTTCCGAATTAGTTAGGCTACTTTCTTTACCCGAGGAAACTAACGGCAAGTCTGTGTGCGAGAAAATATAGTCACGTGATTTTATTCCTGTTGAAACTATCCAGCCTGCTTTGTCAGAATGAGAACTGAAAACTATCCTAAACATAAACCTTATCTCATTGCGGTATGGAATGTGTTTTCTGTGTAACTTTACATAGAGAGTAGGCCTTGTGGGACAAACCTGTATGTGAAAGTACGAAATTAAACCCCAGTGGATTTTCTTGTTTTCACTTATGTTTTTATGAGTACAACTCTTCAGGAAATAAATGAACCGTATAGCCCAAACTTTAATTTATGCCATTAAACTTATAAACATGAAACGGAAACAGTTTAAAAGCATCCAGGTCTCCATTATTTTAAAATGATCGTTGTTTTTCTGTTAATTATTCAGTGAAAAGTACACTTAAATTAGAAAATTGGCCTCTTTTCTTAAATATTACTGGTAGTTTGCCAAGAACTAACCCTAACTTATTGTACATACACTTGATGCATGTCGTTTGTTTGTTTTCTGTTGAAAAATGTTCCTCGTAATAGACAGTTTAAAGTGATTTCAGTAAATAATCTGAAAAGGGTGCAGAAAGAATTTGATTTAACATGTTCGCACGTTATAATTAATTGGTACCAAATGTAGGTAGAAACTCATTGTGTAACGTCCGAGTTAATAGATTTTCAGCTCCAAATTTCTACTGTCGTACATTTGAAGGAATACTTGACGTTTTTACCATGGCGAACCTGGACTTGCTAGATGGTTCCATCTACATTTGATACTAATCAAAGCCTGATGCTAATTTCCTTTTACAAAAACGATGGAAACCGAGAATTTGCGTTTAATTTAAAACCTGAAATAACCCTAAATCATGCAATAGTGATTATGTATAAATATCAAGTAATAGGTTTAAATATTTTAATTAATACTTTTGCAGCTTGTAAATAAGCAGTTAAGCCTGAAAAAAAACCCATTAAAATACGTTTCTTAGCAACAATTAAACCCTCATCGGCTTAGTTTTAAACCCTCTCTTCAATCTCATGTTTACGCAAACAGAAACCGTTGTTTTCTAAAGCCTTGCATCACGCCCTGTAATGTAGTTGTTTCCCGTATCCAATGCTGTATGATATACAAAGATATTTATTGTATTTTGTATAAATGAAATACTGTTCGAGTGGTTTTTGTATTTCAATAAAAGCTTAAATTTTTCTTCTTATTCACCCATATTTAACAGCTTTTTGTGTGTGTGTGTGTGTGCGAGTTAAATTATTTTTTTTTTACTGCTCTATTTATTTCTAGGATCTTGTTGGGCATTAATTTTCCACGATTTAATTTATAAATCAAACTTTGACAAACAATTTCAGAATCGGAGTACATTTTAAGGAAGAATGGTATCAGTCAGTTTTTTTTTTACTCTATTAAACGAAAAATCAATGCAAAAATAACTGTTTGTATAGGAAGATACGTGTGTGTGTGTGTGTTTATACGTGTGTTTAAATAGTGCTGGAACTCCAGTACTTTAGATATTACAGTTAGAAAACGTGGTTTAGGTTTGAATATCTGAGTGTTATTGTTTGATTAATGTTTTTCACGTGCACTTATTAATTTAGTTCTTGTAGTAAATGTCAACTTGAGAGTGCCTAGTTGTATATAATTATCATAACATTTAGCCACCTGGTGGTAGAGCTAACAGATTGTAATCATAAAGAAAAAATTTAGTTAAAAAAAAATATACCTCGTGTAATATTTTGAAAATAATTAGTCAGCATTATTACATATGTTTACAAAACTAGTAGACATAAGTAGGATTTATAGATTATTTTTTTTTTTTCGTCACAAAATCATTTTTGTAATGGAAAGAACAACTGATGTGGTTATTTTAGTTTGGCAGCATCTGATACGAAAGTGAATTGATATATTAATGCTTTATTGTACATCTGGTGTTCTTAATTTTGTGAAATAAATTGCACTGTAAGAGTTTTAATTTCTCTGGGTGGATTTTTTTCCTTCTACAAAAAAAATGTGTCGATAAAAAAAAAATAATAATTTATACAGATGCTTTAACTAATTAAATCACTGACGTAGTTGATTTATTATCAGCTTCACTGATTGGTACGTTTCTCTGACTTTACCAAGAAGGAATACAATTTAACTGTATGGACTTAATTAATGACCGAGAAAAAAAATGAGGATAATGTCTCAAGGCTGCCAAATTTTAAATAATCCTCCCCCCCCCCCACAAGTTTCCGGCAAGATCTCCTCGAAGTCTATCAAACTAAAAGACTTAAAGGTTTCTGTGTTACCAAACAATGGCTATTAGTTAATAAACACACCCTTGTACAATTGAACATAAATACGTTTGGTGAACTGTATAGATCAGCTGATATTTACTATTTGTCATCATTTAGACCTAAAATAATAACACCTAATGAATGTAAAGACGGGGTGTACTTTATAGCTCCATCTATTGACAGAAGTATAAACTAATTAAAATAGAGAGGAAGTTTTGTATAAAAAAATTACCTAACATTACATTTAATATTGTTATATCTTAAGTAAAGAACCAGTATTCTAGCTATTTATTGTACGATTTCGGTATTCATTTAATTTTATATTTTGTATCTTCGTAAACATTAGTTTTTAGTTGGTACTTGAATCCACACTTAAACTAACGTGTCATATTATACATTTGTTACTAGATATTGTTTTGCATTGTTTGCTTAATACATGCTTTTAGGACTAACCTAAACCTCCTGAGCCGGCTGAACCTCGTGATGCGATATTGTTAATGGGGATAGTACCCTGTTATTAAGTATGTAATATCCAGAATTTTATTATGAAGTTTGTTGTCAACTAGTCAGTTTTCCAAGTGAATGTTGTGACATGTGGAATTTCCACAGTTTGTGTCTATATCACGTAATTGGAGGCAGCTGGTAAGATGTGTTAACAAGAGTTGAATCATGAAAAGCATCGTCAAAGACCTTCTTTTGTTACCTGAGGAAAGTGGCTGCAATAGATGTCATTCTGACTAAAGGCAAAAGGTCACAGCTAGTTTGGGCATGACCAAATGAAAGAGGTCAAAACAGAATATCAAATCAAGAATAGTGGCTATAGCAAGTTGGATAACAACTAAGAGCCATGATCCAAGGAAAGAGGCCATAAAAGGTTGAGTCATGATCCAAGGAAAGGGGCCATAATAGGTTGAGTCGTGATTCAAGGAAAAAGGCCACAATAGGTTGAGTCATGACCCAAGGAAAGGGGCCATAACAGGTTAAATTAGGAGCCAAGGAAAGAAGCCATAATAGGTTGAGTCGTGATCAAGGAAAAAGGCCACAATAGGTTGAGTCATGACCCAAGGAAAGGGGCCATAACAGGTTAAATCAGGAGCCAAGGAAAGAAGCCATAACAGGTTAAATCAGGAGCCAAGGAAAGAAGCCATAATAGGTTAAATCAGGAGCCAAGGAAAGAAGCCATAATAGGTTGAGTCGTGACTCAAGGAAAGAAGCCATAATAGGTTGAGTCGTGACTCAAGGAAAGAAGCCATAATAGGTTGAGTCAGGAGCCAAGGAAAGAGGCCACAACAAGTTGAGTCACGACTAAAGAAAGCAGTCACAATAGAACAAATCATAACCTCAGAAGCATAAAATATTGGGTCATGACCCTGAAAAAGTGAGTGAAGTATGTCAATTCATGACCCTTGAAGTGAAATGAACACGAAATAAAAATACAGGCAGTACTAAATTGAAAGTGAATTGAAATGTGTAGCTGGTGGTTTAGGGCAAGTCAGTAAAATCTAACAAAAAGAGAGCTGGACAGATAAGGTTTGTTCCATAACGTAAGCTCACAGAATAAAGTGAATAAATAGTAGATGTGGATAAAAAATATGTTGTATATAAAGTGGATTGAATCAGAGACGAAAATGTGTAGGAACACACTGAAATTCAAGTTTTCTGAACATTCTTAATATTGCCTATGAGAAAGGTAAAGTGTCCTAATGGTTTTCTAAGATTAAAAAAAAAGATAGATGAAGAAAAGAAGAGTATGTGGGCTACACCAAGATTTTACATCTGTATAACTAGAAGAATAACATAGAACATTCATAAAACACAATAGGAAAGCTATAATGACTGAAGAGGAATTGATAACATTTTAAAGCCTGCTAAAATGAAAATTCACTAATTGTGATGCTCAAATGATGGAAATGGAAGGAAGGAATGAGTCAAGATTTAAAAAAAAAAAAAGAATTACCGAAACAAAATAATACCGTAAGAAAGATAAAATCCCTTATTCGTGATGGGCTGGAGTGAACAAAAGAAAGTGGCTTCCCCGATTAAAAACAAATTAACGAGCTGAATGTTGTCACGTTATAAGTGCTTATTTTATTTTGTTACCAAATTTAGTTAGTATGTATTTTTTGTTTATTAAAAATGATAATTTGTATTGTTACAAAACTCATTAGCATCCCAGTATTGCAGAAAAATATACAATGTATTCTATTGTTATTACTGTTTTTTTTTTTGCAATAAAATGTAATTTAAAAACTGTATTCAAACACTCCATAACACTAACCTATTTACAAAATGGCCATTTTATTTTTAATATACCCCCCAGTGGCACACCGGTATGTCTGCGGACTTACAACGCTAGAATGCTCCGCCCACCACGGGTCGATACCCGGATTCTAGCGTTGTAAGTCCGAAAGCTACACAATGGGCTATCTGTGTGCTTAATTACAAATAAACAATTTTTAATATTTTAAAGTAATCAAATATCTCTATTTCAAAAATATTGTATGTAAAATAAGTTATATTTCGTACAATTCACTTCATCGGCATTGGGGGGGGGGGGCACTTGCTACCCCCTGGAAAATGAAAAACATAATTCTTTCTTCATTCATTCATTCAGCATATGTATATGAATTTTTTATTCAGTTCATAGTTTCACACTACTTTTCCCCTCCCTGGAAACATTTCTGCAGACATCCATTATTCAATATAGGACAATCTCGACCAACATTTACCAAAATTAATATTAAAAAAACAACAACATAATACCAATATTTTGTGTTTTTTGAAAAGGTAACCGTTTTAAGTCTCAAACATACAAGCTTACCTCGAGTCAAAAGTGAGGCACCAACAACTATGAATGAATTATTGTTTTATTACTCTTAACGAGACAAGCAAAGAAAGTGAAATAACTTACATCTGCCATATTTATAGATAGATAACTCTTCTGTTGTTGGGTTTACTTTTAAATACACAATATAAAACAAAAAGACACCTGTTTTGTTATTTTACTGAAATTTGAATGTATAAACTTTGGGAAGTTTGAATAGATAACTTATTCAGTGTGGTGCAAAATTTAAAATTCCCATTGCAGTGGTCTGAAAGGGGACATATATATGTCCCCTTGGTAGATAAAGAATCAAATCACTGTTCTGTGTTTAGAATGTGTGGATAAAAACATTGTAAAATAATATTGTTACGACAACGCAGGTCACGTGACCCTTGTATCACGCCACTTCTTTCTCGAACC